TCATTCTCTTCGTTTTTTGATAATGATGGTTAACTTAGTTTGTAGGGGATATTGCTTATTTCCACTGTATTGTATAGAAACAATTGTAAACTCCAAATTCATGCGCCTATTCAACCAAACAAAGAGTCTCACAGACCCTACAAATCCATCAAACAACCCTTGCCCTCCCGCAGGAGTGACAACAAGCATGGGAAAATCAGCCAACTCTCTGAACGGAATTGGGCCCAGAAAAATGTCAGGAACTCCATCAAGCAACGCCTAAATATTTATATAAAACAAACGCCCTCACAACACCAATAAACTCTTTTACACAAGAAAACCACCTCTATTATCATTTATTAAAACCCTCCCACAATTTCAAGTAAAAACACAAACATGCCCACACCCAAAACAACACTCCCGATTCCTCTCAAACCATTTCGCCATACACTGCAAATGCCCGCCATGCTGACACCCAAAACACCACGTAAACGCGCCCTTCACAGGTCCATGACATAACCCACATGTACTCGTCACTGCAAGACACCGTTCACACACCCACCCCGGTTGAGGCGCGTTTGGAATCGGTTTTGAGCAGAACCCGCATGCTGTATGGAATGTTGTTGACTCCTGTGTGCGTGATTGGATGGATGGGATGGAGCAGTGGGAGAGGATGTGGGAGGCTGGTGTCCATAACTTGAATCGGTGTAGTAAATCTGCGTTTGACAAGGTTTTTTTTAGAAATACTGAGGATAAGATAGGGGAGGGAGGGGTTTGGTACGTACCAACATAACTAGAAACCCAAACCTCCTTCACCCTAGCATCAATCTTGGCACCCCCCAACGCCCCTCGCAGCACCATCAAAATCGTACAACACATCTGCGCGTTCCCCAATTCCCCATAAAACTCAAGCACATCCTTCGCAAGCTTTTCATGGTCAAGTTGCGGAACAGCGATCCCCTCAAAAACCCATTTCGGTTCCTGCGCCGCCGCCGCAGTTTCAACAGCTCCAGAAACATGGTGATTCGTCGAGTCGATAGACGCAACCTCGCTCGTATGAACAACCCCAGGAATCGTAACTGTGCTTCTCGGATTCCAATTCGCAAGTCCAACCATCAACCGCCCCCCGCCAGCGGTTGTGCTCGCGAGGGAACTGCCCGCGTTCGTGATTGCTTCGTCGTCGCTGCTATCTTCGAACCCGTGTTCTCCGGTTGTTGTGAAGGGTGTGCGTTTGAACCACGCGGCGCCAGTGTATTGGCCTGCGGTTGTTACGCTGATTCCGCGTTTGGAGGCTTTCAGGGCGGCTTGGTTGAATCGGACGTCTTCGTCGTCGTCGTCTGAGTCGGTGTCGGAGTCGAGGATGTCGGGTTCGTCGTCTAGGTCTTCTTCGGGGAAGGGGTCTGTTGTGAATTCTGGGGGTGGTGTGTGTGTGTATTGTTGAGATGGAGTTGTTTTTTGGCTATGTGGTAAGGCGGTGCTGGCTTTCTTGAAGAGTGCTGGGTTGGTAGATGTGGTTGGTGCTGGGGTGTCAGTTCCAAAGAGGAGACCGAGGAATTTCCAGGTTTGGGAGGCACGGGGGAGATCAAGGTTACTGGCTGCTTCACTATTGTGCATACAGAGGTCCCAGATTTCTGACGGGGTTGGATGAGGAGATGTTGTGGTTTTGTAAGTATATGCAAGTTGGATGAATGAGACATGGTTGAAAGATTCTGTTTCGTAAATTGCTGAAAGCTGGGCTATAGGTCCTGGGTGTGGAGAAGGTATTGTCGGTATCTGGTTCAAAGGTGACGCTGTGGATTGTGCTGAGGAAGATGATGTTCTAACTGCAATCGTTGGTAGGGAGCCAGTGTTGATGGGTGCAGAATGGATATTCGTAGCCGAGGGATGTTTTGTTTTGAGACTTGAAGGTGGATGTGTGGGTGGATGGAATGTAGTCACTTTGTGGGGAATAGAAAATGTCAAGTCGCCATATTGGTTCCAGTCTGCAGCACAAGGACTAAGGAGAGCAGATGGATGATATCCAGCAACGTGGAGATCTTGACGAACAAACATGTGGTCCTTTGAAACTGTCCAAACAACGTCCGCATCCGTCCACAAAAAGTCAGTGATGGGATCGTCGTGCTCTTCTACTGCCCATTCAGCAACAAATCCTCGACCCAAGTCCCATACAGTGAGTTTTGAATCTACAGCCAACGAACAAGAAGCAATTTGATGTGCGGGAATACCATTTGATGAGGGTCTCCACGCGATTCTCGCGACATGAGAGCTTGTTTGAATTGTTTGAAACGGTTTGCGACCTTCTGCTTTGGTATCTGTATGTGTATGAAATTGTTGATGTGTTATTTGTTGAAAGAATCTTTTCAGATGATGCTCACCCCAAAACTTAATGACTTTGTCCCTTCCTGCAGAGGCAAATACTGATCCATCAGGATGCCAGTCGATTGTAAGCGCCAGTCCAAAGTGGGCACTCCATCGTCGTTCTGGTTCTGATGGTTTTCGCAGATCCCACTTTTGAACATCCCCGTTTTCAAACGCGGCGATAAATTCGTAGGGCGAAGTTGGAGAAAACTGAACGTCTCGCACTTTATCCGCACGGCCTTCGAATGTTGTTGATGGTCCTGATTTGTCGCGAAGGTCCTTTGTGGAATAATTAGTCATTATTGATGTATTGTAGAAAACAGATGTACGCACCCACAGCTTTACAGTTGCATCCTGACAGGCACTCAAAAGTAAGACGGGTTCAATTGGTGAAAAGGAGAGCCTGTTCACAGACTGATCATGATCTTTTAAGCTAAAGGCCTGTTTCTGCGAACCCCGATTCAAGTCCCAGATGAGAATATCGCCATTTAGATACGCTGAGGCTATAGTAGCTTCAGCAAAGGGAGGAGCCCACTTTGCATCTGTGAGCGAGTAGTTGAGCTGTGTTTTGAAGCCCGCGCGAAGATTGAGCCACTCCTTCACGTCTGCATCCGAGATTCTGAGGATCTTTAAATAAAGGAGAGTCAACAGAGCACGAGCGAAAGAAAGGCGGGCGTACCTTGAGGACGTCCTTTCCGCCAACGAGCACCTTTGAATAGTCTGGCGAGGCGGAGAGAACCGAGAGCGGCGACTGCATTCGACAGCGAAGAGTTCGTTTTGAAGTTGAAGTTGAAGTTGTTGTTGTTGTTGTTAAAGTGGTGGTGGTGGTTGAAGTGGTGGTTGTCGCTGGAGCAAGAGCAACGGAACTAGGACCACTTGGACCAGTTGCCTCGTTCACGTTCAAGGCCTCGGAACTCCGGAATCCGTGTCGCCCGCCGTCGTCGTCAAAGGCGGAAAGCGCTGTCGACAGCGACGAGTTGGACGCGTGAGTGTTCTGCGCCGCAACAGAGGCATAGCTCTGCATTTGTTGAACACTTTAATATTGTGTTTAATTGTTCAATCTCTTTTATTTGTATTTGTTATTTCTTTCTGACTTGTTCATGGCAAAATAAACGTAAACTCTTGACAGCATCCATAAGGCATACTGAGGTGGTTGTACTCAACTGCTCCAATATGATAGCCGAGACTATAGAATTTACGGAATAGATTGATCATGGGATGAACAAAATCAAGTCCCTTTTCTGTACTGGCCGCTTGGTAAGGCTTTGCAACTCCTTCAGCTTGAGGCCACAAGTGCATCTCAAGTGCAATTTGCTTGGGAAGAACGCCGCCTTGAGCCAAATTATCCAAAGCAGGTGGTAAAGCGAGCCACTCGAAGCCCTTTTCCAAAGATTCAGTCAACTTGATGAATAAAACAGACTTAGATATACCTCAATGTCCATTTTGAAATAATCCACATGCGTTAATCCTAGGTCCTTTGTAATACTGTCCCAAGTCTTGTAAACGCGGCCATCAATGATTTTGTCTTCTCCAAGACACCATGGAAAAAACCTGATGTTGTTGTGCGGTGGAATCCATGTTCCCGTGCAATCAAATGTGTATACCTAAGAAATATTTATCATTGAAGCGATTTTTGATGACATTGTTGACTTACAGTACAGTCGCTGTTGGTGTGCTCAAGAATAGACTCCTCAAACTGCCACTGACCATTGGATCCCAACGAGACAGCAGTGCAATTACCAGGGGCAGGTTGAAAATACTCTCCACAAGTCCACTTGGCTCCATCGTCGTCTCCGCCCAACCTTTTGTGGGACACAAAAGGCATCAACAATCTCCCCATGAACAATCCCCCCCACACCCCCAAACGCTACTTCCCAAAAAAACAAAGAAATAATGTTACCTTTCAAAATTATTCCTATCGCAACTAAACGTTTCCGGAAACAGAGAATACACGTCAATCAAAGAAACACTCGCAGCTTCAGCGGGAGACATTCTCTCAGCACTCTCCCACGCCTTAAACATCTGACTCGCGCGTGCCTCAGCCCACTCCTTGGGAGTAACAGGGACTTTATCTAGTGCAGTCTCAGTTCCAATCAGATGCTACATTCATTTTCCATACATTCAACATTAGTGTACACATAACAAAAGCATACGGTCTTGGTTTAAAACAAACATACCCGTCGTAACCCATCTGGAAGAGACGCGTAGAACCCGAAATATCCGAGACTGATGCAGGCAATCACGGAAATTGCAATAATCGCGGACAGAAACTTGCGGGATGATGAGAGTGATAGTTCCACCATTCAAAAGCTTTTGTATGTATTTTTTGTGAGGCCACAAAGCGATCTACAGTCTTTCTTTGTCTCGTTCAGGACTCGGGTGCACACAAAGAGAGTTTGTGTGAATGGTTCGATAAAAAAGTGACTTTGATTGTTTTGATTGCTTTTCTTTGTGTGTTCATTTACAAACCTTTCATTTTAAGTCGTGACCCTAATGATAATGGAATCTTCAGAGCCATGTAAAGTGGAAGTTACAAAAATATGTCAAAGATGTTCGGATTTTTATGGGCTGCAAATGGTATAATTGGATCACATTGAGAGGATGTTTTTTGCTGATACAAGTTTATATTAGCGCTTGATATTCAGCGTAGCTCTTTTCTAGTGCCAGGGACTGATAGCTCAGTGGTAGAGCGTAGGACTGCAAATCCCGAGGTCGCGGGATACTGCAAAGCCAGTTTTTTTGGAATGTCTAAGTATATGAAAAGATGGTCAGGGAGTTTGGTGGAGTTTGGGTTCAAGTGCTGTTGGCCTTTTCCTTCCTTACCTCATCGCGTTCTAGGTTTCAAGCACGAAGGGAGTAATCTTAGCTGGATTTAATGGTGTTCTCCATTCTACCCTCTAAAGAAAATTGAACAAATAACTGAAGCTTTTTTCCCCCCCTCTCCCCCCCCTTCTGCTCTCTTGATCACACTCTCTGTTTTTTCCTTATAGGGCCACCTTCAAGTTCTTCTAGTTCAGCGTCAAGGTCCAATAAGGAGTCGCTTGTCAAGTCTGCAAGACTTCCTGTCCCGCCAGTCAGCGGCACGCCACTTGCAGCTGCAGCACCCAAGGAGGTTTCAAAATCAAATTCAGAAAAGTCTGTGATGGGGATTCCGGATGCTGGGTTGTCGTCGACGCTGGTGGTTGTTTGTTGGAAGTAGGAGAGGTCGTCTGGGTCTTGAGGTTGGAAGTCTGAGGTGAAGGATGCAAAGTCTGTATTGATTCATGATAGTTTCAGATATGGGATTTTTGTAGAGAGGTAGAGTTTCTTACCGCCACCAGAGAAAAGGTCATTTGAGCTTTGTGGCTGAGAGGTTGTTAATAATGACGCTGGTTGTGTTGAATAGAGTTGTGATTGCCCGTTTTCATCATCATCATCGTCATCGTCATCATCTTCAAGAGAACCTATGAGAATATTGAGTATGTGGGAGAGAAGAAGAAAAAGTAACGCACCATATTGAGGATGTTTTGTACCAAAAGGACGAGATTGTGAAGAATCTTCGTCGTCCTCGTCTTCTTCTTGCTCGTATTCCTCTTCTTCCTCGTCTCCTCCATTCGTTTCTAATCAAACCAATCTCAGTCATCACTTTGATAACACACACCCAAAACCCAACTTTAACATTACCTCGTGATCGCGACTTTTGAGCAAGTCTTTGATATTCTTGCTCTTCTTCCTCTTCGTCGTACTCATCATCGTCCTCTTGGTCTTCCTCATCCTCATCCTCCTCTGCAAAAACAGGTGCTGGCGAGTATCCTTTCCCCTTCCCTTTACCCCGTCCAGGTCTTATTCCTCCTTTGCCTTTTCCCTTTCCTTTTCCTCGGCCCTGTCCATACGGGGGATGTGACTCCTGGTCTTCATCATCTTCATCGTCCTCGCCATCGTCACCGCCACCTTCGTAGTCCTCTCCTGCACACAGTATCGATTTTAGTATAATTTATCTATGGGGCAGACAGCTGGAGCAATCTGAAACAAGACGGGGCAAGATGAGTTATTATTACCGTCAAAGTCATCGTCCTCATCGCCCTCGTCGTCGCTTTCGTCCCCGTTCGAGCCAGAAACACCGCGCCCTTTTCCAGGCATTTTGCGGCCTTTTCCAGGTGCTTTTCCGGCGCTGCGGCGTGGCTGTTTGCCCAACTGCGAATCAGATGGGGATCCCGCGTAGGAATCTGACTGCTGAGACTCGTAGTCGCCGTATTTCCGTCGGGGCACGGATTGGCAGCTGAAGTGTGGGAAGTGGAACACGGGCATGAAGGTGTGATGCAGGTCAATCATTTTTTTGGAAGATTTTGTTCAGCAAATGCAGATTTATTGTCTTTTTTTGAGAAGGAGAAAGGAATTAAGCAAATGAGGAGGAAGTGGGACAACGCTGCAAAAAGAAAGAATTATAAACCATAGACTTCCCAACTCCCTCCTTGATGAAACACTTCAAATGTCAAAATAAAAGTACAACAGATTATGGAGGTGAAAATTTAAACAAATGTGGCATATGCAGTATTCTAGATTTGGCTCTGTGCCTTCAGTTTGTGTAGAATTGTGAATAGATGGGTGAGTTGCCATCAACTATGAGGGTGTTAGACGCTTCAACTGCAAAGAAATAAAACTTACTCTTCTTGATTCCAACGTTGCTTTGGTGTTGCTGTTGCTGGTGCTGTTGGTGCTGCTGCAAGTGAATTCCCGAATTTCCAACCATTCCCGATGAGGAGGAAGACCCCGGAACCATCATAGAACCTCTAAATCCACTCACGCATCTCAAATTCTTTTCAACAATAGCTGCAACCCTCTGTCCATACTTGCTCCCTCTCAACACACCCAAATGTGGTGCAATCAACCTTGTGCATGTATCCCTCTGCTGCGGCTCCGCCAGCGTCAAAATATGCTGCACCACATAATTCGCATACTGATTATTCATCATATCAATAATTGCAGGATGTCCCGTCTCCCCAAACTGTCCCGAAATAACCTGCTCAACAATCAAATACAATTCCCGCTTCGGACACGTCTTCAACGCCTTCTCAACCACTTTCGACGCAAACTGGTCAATGCTAAGCGCGTGGATGTGTGTTGATACAACTTGGAGGATGTGTGATTTGTCGGGCGGGTAGCCTCTGTCGAGGAGATGTTGTATGACCCAGTTTCCCCACTGTCCACGTGCGATTTCGGCGGCGTGGGTGAGTACTTCACCGATTATGCCGCGTTTTTCGGGTTCAGGACAGTTCTCGAAGATGCATTGGACGACGAGAGAGCCGGACTCGTCGTTGGCGATTTGGTGCCATTGGTTGCGGAGGATGCGGTCCATGCGGCGGAGGATTGCGAGGACTGGGTGGATTTTGGAGGTAACGGTGAATTCTTGGGATAGGGATTGGGGTGATAAGGGGGTGTTTTGTGGAGTTGTTGATGTTAAAGCTGCAGAGTATGGGTGCAGAGTCCATTTTGTTTCAAAGATTCGTTGCCAGACGTGGCATGCGAATCGGTGTGTGATTGTGTCTGTAATTTGGTTTCGTTACGTAAATTAGGAGTCATAAGTTAAAGTATTACCTGGAATAGCAACGAGCAACTCGCGAATAATCGCAACTTTCAACGAGTCATCACAAACATCCAGCGCTTTTTGCACAACATGGCATCCAAATCGATCACAGCTGAGCATGACCACACAACCCAGCATACTACTTGTCAACGCATGAATCTGCTCCTTGTCTCCAACCTCAAGACATCGTTGAACCAAGAAGTTTCCAAACCGGTTTCGGATTAAATTTAGGGAATGAGCTAAAATGGCTTCAATTATTTGGTTACGCGTCTCAGGGTGAGTTGTTTTCAGTTTCTGTTGGAGGAGGAGAGATGCTGGTTGATCTTGCGTTCTCACTATTTTCTCAACAAGAGTCTATGTAAAAAGCTTTAAGTATTTGTTGCTTGTTGGTGTTTATAATAAAACGCCATACGTGAAACGTTGTTGGTTGTGACGGTGTCGAGGAAGATTGACGATATGATTTGTGAGTGGATCGGTGCTTGTTGGAAAGGCTTAGCTCATCCTCTATGATAGTCGGGTCGTAACAGTCGTATGATATCTAGTTTGATTACATAAGTGTACCGAAACATTATTCAGAAGTGCTTACAGATTCGTCAACTTCCCATATTGATTTTAAATGATTCAGGCTTGAGTCACTGTTATTAGATTCCAAATACGTTGTGTTTGAAAACGTGACGCCTGTGGTTGACGGAACAAATTCTTTGGCTTCATTCAGGTACTCTGGTGTGTTGGATACCGGTTGATCAGTAGTATTGTGTAGCAGGAGTGGCGACCAGATAGACTTCGGACGTTGGAGTGTGGCTGGGTTTGAATTTGGCCATGAAGTAGTCGGCGGGGAAAGCGCGTCAGTTTGTTGTGAGGACAGATTGAGAGACGATGTCGATCCTGTTGAGTTTGTTGGAGGCGAAGAAACCATGAATTGGTCTTGTTGAGGCAATGTTGTAGAGGTCAGAGGTGCAGGGATGATTGAGAGAAGAGGCAATTCCGGCTGGAAGATTGGTTCCACCAGTGGCTGATTTTGGAAGCGTGGAAATACGTTCTGCTCTGGCTGTACTGTTGTTGGGACAAATAGAGAGCTGGTTTCTTCGGCTGCAGCCGCAACAGGATCGACGATTCCAGAAGTAGCGGCATTACCATTTTGGCCAGCAACTGGAAGACCTGGTGGAATTGTTGCGTCGTCGTCTCCTTTTACATGAGAAGCGAATAGACTATTTACTGCGATGCTATTGGCAAGCCTGTCAACTTTTTCGACGGGATGACCAGCCTCAAATTGTTGTTGCTGCTGTTGTTGCTGATGCTGCAACATCATTTGATGCTGAAAGTGTTGATGATGTAATTCCTGCTGTAGTGACATTGTCCACCGCCGAAGTTGGTCGAGTTCTTCTCGTAATTTCTGGATTTCCATGTCCTTGATGGCCATTTGGTGGGCATCCATACGCCGAGCATTTTGAAGGGCCGCAATTTCATTTTGCGATGATACTGGAGGTGGGCTTTGCGTATCAGAGAGTGATATTTGAGGAATTTGAGTTGCTAAAGATCCAATGCCATCTTCGTGCTGACTATCTTGAGGTAAAATGTCATGTAAAGGTGGTGGGGGAGGATGATGAGGAAAGAAGAATCCAGAAGGTGGTTGAATGGGTTGATAGAATTGCGGAAATCCAAATGAGGGAACCTTTAAAAAGATTAGTCGTGTTTTGAAAAATGACTACAACTCACTGGTTGGAACTCAGAGGATAGTGGATTGGTTCCAAACATTATTCCAGGTCTTCCAGTATTTGGATTCATGACGTCCATTCTATACGCGTTGCGTTCGCTGTTCATCTGATCTATAGAAACATTGATTTCTATTGACGGTTCTTCCTGATGCGGCATATTCTCTGATTTTTCCATAGCTCTAATTAAAAAGGCGGTAAGTAAGAAGTGTTCGATTTTGTGATATGCTTGAAGTGATCGGATTCGGATTCATATTTCGCATGAAGTCCACACTGCTCAAGTATCGCGCTCATTGAAACGCAGCGATCCAGCTTATTCGTTTACTTCGCATATTTGATTCAAGGCTTTCGTGGAGAATCCTTTCCCTCAAACTCGTCACACATAGACTTCTTGATAGAACAGCTCTTCCGATCTCAGACTTATAATGGATTGAACAAATCCGATCGTAGCTACGAAAGAAGATGGGCT